AGATAATCAATATTGACATATGGAGCTTGGTTCAAGATATTTAAATGCATCCAGATAAAACTGCCATCTAGAGCTTTCAGCAGCAATAGTGAAAAATCAATCATGTAAGGTCAACAAATCCCTTGATTGATGAGCCGTTCTGCTTGGATTTAAACTGGGTGTTTCTTTTACTAGACTTTTGCAATATAATACTATTAGTTTACATATGTGGCAGATGAATATCATGAAAATATAAGAAATATTCAGATTGGTGGTTAGACTGGCTTGCAGGAAGGGAAAGAAAAAAGAGAGGCAGGAGATGAAGGGTAGAAGGATGAAGTGGGTATGACAGTTAAAAGGAAAATTGGCGTTTTACATCAGCAGTCCAAGGTTTTCATTGTCTGGGTGCATCCTTTCTGGACCATACAGTAAGGGCATCCTTATTTTATTTTTTCTTTTCATAATTTGAATGTGTGTATGTATATGCACCAGCATAAAGCGGCCAGAGTTCAATATATTATATTTTTCTCAACTATTCTCAACCTTATTTTGTTTTCCATTACAAATTTTACTTGTTTTATACTCTGAAATTTCTTATTTTGTTTTAAAGTTTTATTTTATGAGAATTTCATACATGTGTACAATATAATGTGTTTTGATAACATTCACTCCATACTCCAGTTCCTCTAGTATCCCTCCCAACTTTGTGTGTGTGGGGGGGTGTCCCACAGAGTCCAATATTAGTACTACACAAATCTGTATGGGTAGGAAATCATTCACTAGAGCATTGCAAATCTAAACCCCGAAAAAGAAAAACTGACCCTCCCTCTCTAGCAGGTACCTACCAACTGCCAATAGCTCTCAGCAAGGGGTCCAATCCATGCTGGAATGCTGTTCAGGGAACTACAGTTGCTCGGAGTGCATGAGTACACCGTCCCTGTCACATCTAAAAGATCATTTCTCAGACATCTTCCCTAATTTCTGCCTCTTATCTTTCCTCTCTCTTCTGTGATATTCCCTTAACCTTGAGGCCAGACTCCTCCTTATTTTTGAGACACGGTCTCTCACAGAACCTGGCTATTACAGTCTGGTTGGCCAATGAGCTCCAAGAATCTTCCTGTCTCTTTCCCCAGTGCTGGGTCTATAGGTGACTGCTGCCATGCACATCTTTTACATGGGTGCTGATGATCCAAGTTCATGTTTTCCTGCTTGTGCCACAAGATCTTTACCCACTGAGTCATTTCTCCACCTGTTATTTCTGGAGAAGTTATTGGGGTTTAATATTTGCCACTATTGATGATGATCAATATGATTTTTCAATACTCATATGCAACTTGTAATACTTATCATCTCAAACGTTTACCATCTCATTGACTTATCAACATTAAATTTTCTGTATTAGTTATTGTAAATATTTATTTAATACCAACCACAATTATTTTATTGCAGTATAGTTAATCCTTCTATCCATCTTCATCTTTGTGCCTGGTAACCATCCTCTTTCCATTCCCTACCCTTACCATCAAGGCCCTGGTAGCAACTACTGTACTTTCTGCTTCTTTAACTTATATTGTTTTAGATCCCATATACACATGGGATCATACAGTAGTTTTATTTCTGTACCACTGTACCATTCAGCAGTATCTATGTTGTTTCAAAATGATAGGATTTCACTCCTTTCATGACCAGATAGTATTCTGTTTTGTGTACTACATTTTCTACATCCATATATCTATGTTAATGGCCTCATAGTTGGTTCAAAATCTCCTGGTTATTGTGAGTAGCACAGCAATAGACATGGGAGTATGAATATCTCTTTAATATACTGACTTCATTTCCTTTGGGTAAATGCCAAATGATGGAATTACTGGATCATTAGTCATGTAATAGTTCTAATTCTCATGTTCTTTGAGGAAATTTCATGCTATTTTCCATAATGACTGTATTAATTTAGATTCTACTCAAGAGCATCTTTGACCATCTGCATAGTTCCACATTTTCTCTAATTTCATTTAAAGTAAAGTAAAGCTTACAGTATGAGAACACACACATCATCTTTTCTCTTCTTAAGACAATAGTTAATTCAAGTCACTGTGAGAGACAGTGGTTTACAAAATTTATGATGAGTATTCAAAACCTATTTTGGAGTTTCCTTCAACTTATACAAAACCACAAAAGTATGTTTTCCTGACATTAAAAGAAAAAAACACTTTATGTGTATACCTGGTTGTTCTGCATGCATATCTGTGCATCAGTTACCTGCAGCATCCATGAGAGCCAAAAGTGGACACCAGACCCCTTGTGAATAGAATTATTGATGTGTTTGTGAGAGGTTGTGTGGGTGCTGGGAATTGAACCCTGGTCCTCTGAAAGCATAGTCAGTGCTCTTAACTGAGTCACATCTCCAGTCCTCTTTTCTTGATGTTTTAGTGGAGGATATTGGACTTAGCTTTAAAACACACAGTACAAAATTTCAACAGTCTTACTAGTTGTGGGATCTCTCTGAACTTCAGCATCTTACCCTTAAATGGAAGAAAATAATGTCTTCCTAGAAGCACCATATTTTAGGTGACCACTGGATTTGCTGAAGTTTCCTTTATTAATATTCTATAGAAGAGTTTAGGAACTAAGTAAGCAACTATAGCAACTGCAGAAATTCAGGAACATAATTGGGTAAGGTGTTGAGCTTTGAGATACGATCTGGATTTCAGGAAATTGTTCCTTAAATGGCATGGATTGAGGACCATTACATTAGCAACTTTGCAACAGAAGAGGAGAAAGCTAAAAATCAATGCAGATTTAGTTGGTACCTTATCCTTAATCTCACATCAACTATTTTTTCCTTTTATTTTTTAAGAATATAGGTTCTTTATTTTCCCAGATTTTTTTATTTGAATTAGATCCAGGATTGCTTTACATGACAATTCCAGTTCCCTTCTCCCTCCCATCCTCCCCTACCACCCCCCCCCCAACTAAAACCCTACCCATCACATATCCTTTCTGCTCCACCTGGATGGCGAGGCCTTCCGTAGGGTGTCATCAGAGTCTATCTTATCCTTTGGGATAGGGCCTAGGCCCAACCCCATGTGTCTTGGCTCAGGGTGTATTCCTCAATATGGAATGGGATCCCAAATACTGCTAGGGATAAGTACTAAACTAGTACAGGAGGTCTCATAGATTTCCGAGGTTTCTTCAATGAGACCCATGTTCCTGGGGTCTGGATCAGACCCATGCTGGTATTCCATCTATCAGTCTGGGGAGCAAGAGCTCCCCGTTGTTCAGGTCAGCTGTTTTTTGTGAGTTTCACCAGCCTGGTCTGGAACACTTTGCTCTTCACCCATCCTTCTCTGAATCTGTGTTCCAATTCAGTTCGGTGATTAGTTGT